TGATGCAAGTTGGCTTCAAACTATGGAATGGATTTCCTGAACCGAGGCGTGTCTCATGAGCCCAGAGTAATAAGACCCGCCTCACATTCAGGAAATCCAGTTCATAGTTTGCAGCAGCTACAACGTGAGGACTGAGTTAGCAGCACTGTGGCTAACAGCTAACAAACTTTTCATCTAAACATGTCGGCTGTGTGGAAGTGTTTTACACTAAACACCACAAAACAAGACAGCAACGTGCACTGTCTGCAGAGCCATAGCGCCACATTAAACCGCGGTAAAGTTAGTTTTACGATGGACATTCGAGCTTTGTGGCTTCAGCGGGGCGCTGCTCTTTGCTCAACCCGGGGCGGCCAACTCGACCCCGGCCAGCCGTGTCCAATCCGCCCGTCTCTGAGGAGGGACAGACTGAGCGTGGCTGCCCCAAATCAGACTGCCTGCTTCGGACTGAACAAGAAGAAGACATCGCTGAAACCACGGAGCTCAAATGTTTACAGAGAAGTTGCTAAACTTCATAATTAATGACCAACCACTATCAGTTGTAGAAAACGAAGGATTTCACAGTTTGATACTTGCAGCCAAGATATAGTTTACCCTCCAGGAGATATTTATCAGTGCAACAGTAGACAATCATAAAAAACATGATTTGAAAATTATATTAAAAACAAAAACAGCTACATTATAAAGTGATGTAAAATAGGAACATGTCTGTTGGTTTATGCCATGAACTTAGCAGGTGTTTAAAGCCATTTAACATTTTATTTTATTAATTTATTCATTCATTTAAAAGAAACAATAAAAAAAACATAAAAAAGAAAAAATTGAATGAAAAGAGTGCAGAAAGAAGAAAACAATTCTTATATCTGCCCCTTGTTTAAAAAAAATATAAAATGACTTTAAACAATCACTTAAATTAATCACTTTAATATCCACTTTAAAACTAGGAATAAAAAGAAACATGTTTTGTGTTAGCAGAATTTAATTCTAACTTTAAAACTTATCCAGCATTAATAAAACTTACCTCAAGTTGTCTTTTTGGACATGCATGCATATATTTGTACAAATTGTACTTGAGAGGAGATTATTACAGCCTCATATAAAATCAATGATGATCATGATAT